GTCAAGAAAACTCACCGGCAAATCCCTAAAAAGTGGTAAACATACTCTAAGGTCATATGTCAAACTCCTATGCATGTGAGTGTGTCTGTCTCTCTATTTGTACGTGCATGTTTGTGTTCGCTTATGCATGAGACCCGAAGTGATGGCTGGAAGTAATTAGGGCAGCAAAAAGGAAGGTCTGTTTTTGGCCATCGAGGTTTGATGAACCTTATCTCCCCCTTTCTACATTTAAGTTATAACCATCACTCCGATTGTGCAAAGTCGAACACGTCTGGTTTTGTTGATGAGCCCATTTTTTGTTCTCTTCACCCAACACTTCCACTCGAAATGGAAGCATTCACTTGATTGAAATCTTCTTTCGGTCTACGCTGAGACCGATCCCTTCAAAATGGAAAGTATGATGCCACTTTTCGAGACCCGGCTTTATTCACATTCTTGAAATGCTCCTCTCGCCATCATGTGGCGTCGATTTTTTTGTGCTGAATTTCTGTTTTTACATGAAGTGGACATTATTGCAACCGGCCACCTTTTCTCAATTAGTTTGCTTCTGTTGGAAACAATAGGTTCGGGCTCTGACGATGCCTGTCATGACGTGACAGGGGAGAATTCACCACGTCGGGATCCTGGTCGCAGGATGGGGAACCAAGATCGACTTGGCGCCAATCTTCAATCGCCCCCATTCTAGCCCTTTTAATGCCGTGGCAACCAACTCGTTTTATTGAAATGTGAAAAGTCAAAAGCCAACCCTCGAAGTTGTGCTTCCGAGTCAGAACTTTGTCCACTCGGATCCCCTCATATTTTCATTTCCTTCTCACATACTCACCCTAACATCTCCCCATGCATACACATACTCTCGCACAAATTCGTACCTAAACGTAGACACATTCACTCATATTCACTCACATTTAAGCGATTTCACACTCGTTCACACGTACGCATAAAGACACTTGCAATCATCCCATTCATACACATTCTGACACCTCCACACGCATTTATTCATTCATTCATATTACCCGACATGCACGCACATTCACACTCATTCAAACATACAAACCAATATACTTACAAATAAATAGATAACTAAACAAATATATATATATACATACACATTTCACACACATACACATTCATCGACATTCACGTATATGTGCAATCACACAAATTCATACAGATTCTCACACATTCACGTATAAACACACACGCATATACATTTTCATATAGTTACAGTGCATTTTTGGTAAAGATCTGCCGGACGGTGCATTGGAAGGGTTGGAAAGCGTAACAACGGCATGTGCCCTGATGGTACATGTCAGCTCTTGCGACGGCTGGTGTGGAGACGGATGCTGAGGGTTGTCGAGAATACAGACGAGGGCAACAGTTGGACGGACTGGCCCTGTCCGTTTGGCTTTTTATCACCGCGTCGGCGCGGCGGTCACTCTGACCCGTGGCGACCGGACTGGCCCGTCTGTACCACAGGCCGGGCCTTGCGACCTTCCCTTTGACATGCGTCCACATGTCCCAGTTGGGCAGATGCGTCAGATTCTGCTTTCCAGCCTGACAGCCAAAGGATGTGTTGGCATTTTTGACATTTGCCGGGGCAGCCTTTGGCTCGAAGAGGCCTATCAATGTCAATTAGTCCCACAAAAACACACTCACACACACACACACACACACACAAGGCACACGATCTTGTCGCATGTGCAGTCGAGCCGGAGATGCGGTCTGGAATGTGCTGAGGAGTGGCGTCCTCTTGCATACCCCCAGCCCACACACCCCCCGTGCCCAGTTGGGGGAGCCAAAACTAAGCAACTGGATGTCAGGCCCCGGGGCACCCCTCACGCCGGGATGCCCAGGCAACGAACAGCCGTGCTCACTCGCACAAACACAAGCGGCCGGCCCAGGCTCTTTGGGCCGCATGTGACCCGGTCGCCTCAAGGCGGTAGAAAACGGGAGCCGGCCACGGCAAGACGTCGCCTTCTGCCTACAGAGGAACTATGAATCGACGACATGGGCCCACTGTTGTTATAATAACTCACACGAGTGTCCGTGTGTGTTTACGTTCACCTCAGAATACACCCATTTTGAATAACATTCCAGACCCAGATCGAGGCGCAATTCTCCCTTTCTCCCGCTCTCCCTCCCTCTCCATGCCAAACATCCATTCATCCATCCGTCCACCACTCCATTCGTTCATTCATCCATCCGCACATCAGTTCAACCGTCTGTACGTCTATACGTTCGTCCACACATCCATTCGTCTATCCGTCCATACATCCATTAGTTCATTCATCCATCCATCTACACGTCCATTCATCCATCCGCCCATCAGTTCAACCGTCTGTACGTCTATCCGTTCGTCCACACATCCATTCGTCCATCCGTCCATACATCCATTCGTTCATTCATCCATCCGCCCATCAGTTTAACCGTCTATACGTCTATCCGTTCGTCCACATATCCATTCTCA